ACATTTCCAGATCCGTCATTGAGTGAAACAGAAGGACCGGACAGACGAACGCAGCCTTAGCAGCAGCGTCTGATGGAAATCTCGCTTCTTTTCATTCAGTTTGTCTGGTTTTATCTTCCGACTTGATTTTAAACTCACTGCTCATCCTGAAAGTAACCAGCTTTTAATTCTTCTCACATTCTTTCTCAACAAGGTCGTTGTAACCGTCACAGACGTAAATTCAGGGTTGGGGACGGTTACAGCCTTTGCTTCCCAAACATAGATGCTTTGAATTCCTGTTTTCTATCCGTGGAAGTGAGCCTGCCTTAGCGCAGCACACTGACAGTATTTGAAAACACCGGCAGTCGGGGACTGATGTTGTCTCCAGAGACAAAGAGAGCTTCTCTGCTGAGAAGACCTTGGCCTGGTTAGCAGGAGTCCCACAGATAGAGCTTTAACTGCACACTAAACACACAGATACTCCCGTTCCCATAAAGGCCTCTCTGGTATTCATGCGAGCACAAAGAGAAAACCCCCACAGGGATCAATAAAGCAGCACATCATTCCTCTTTATTGTTGGCATAATGGAGAGAATATGAAAGAGAACCTGTGTGGTTTGGTTCTCTTGGAGTGGACGGCGGTTTCCTGCTGCTTTCCTCACATTAAATGGCTTTTTGTGGAGGAGACGGCAGAGCGGCCTGAGCGCCTCACTCAACCTTCTCTTTACCCCTCTAACCACAAACATTAAAGATTCTCTCTCATCATAGAACTACATCCTGGTTAAGTCTCCAATTTTCTGCAGGATGTTTTAATTCTACGCATTTATTGAAGAATAAAAATCTACTTTCATATGTTTAGTAATGAAGTGAGAAACCATGTCAGAAGCTCAGTCATTACACTCTCACAAGTACAAAAGCCCCTGTCACACCTTGCTGATCTATCCAGCATATGCCTAACGCCCCAGAATCTTCTAAAACGCTGGAAGACTCTGAAAGTTCGATGTACTTTTTCAATATCGGCCGTATACTTAGAGTAGGGTTGGGAATCGATAAGATTTTCACGATTCCGATTTTCTCATCGATTCTGTGAAACGATTCCAGCTACCAGTAGTTCTAATTTAACATGCTAGCAATGAAGGGCTGGATTAACGTGAAAGGAAAAATCCCTTAATAACTTCAAAGAGAGGTAGGAACAGTGGCGGCTGGTGAAAAATATTTAGCCTAGTGTATGTCTCCAACTAATCCAGAATAAGAATTCAAATAAACAATTGGACAATAAATACAATTTAACAGTAATGATTTAATTTACTATATAATAACAGTAACAGTGATGATTTTGGTCACTGTGACGGGGTTCTTTGGCCTCCAAGAATCCAGGCTCAGTCGGGTTACCGGTGTTGGTGATTTATTGTGCTCAAAAACTCAAAACAGGGTGCAAAAGAAACTAAACATATGCAAGATACTCTGGGCCTCAGCCTCCCTCCAGTTACCAGCAATGTAACAAAGAAACAGAAAACAGAAATGGCCGCTTTTCTTCCCACAGCCCTCATTAAATAGTTTAAAGGAATAGTACAC